ATAATATTCTTGGCTGGCAATTTTTTATCTTTTAGCACTTTGACTGTATCATCTCATTCCCTCCTGTTCTGCAAGGTTTCTGCTGAGAAATCCACTGATTGCTTTATTGGTGCTGGTAATGGTGGTATGTGTGTTCATTGGGGGTTTTCTTGTATTATATAGGTTGCTTTTCTTCTGCTGCTTTCAAAATTTCCTCTTTGCCTTTGATTTTTCAGCATTCACTTATAATGTGTTTCAGTGTAATCTTTAACTTGAGCTTTTGAGCTTCATTAATCTAGATGTCCATATTTCTTTCAAGATTTGAGAAATTCTCAGGCAACATTCATTTAAGTAAGCTAGATATTTCTTCTATTCCCTTTTGGGACCTTGATAATGCACATGTTCATTCATTTATTTGATCATAGTCTCTGTATGCTTTTGTCACTTTTTAATTCATTTTTCTTTTTTGTTTCTCTAACTGGATAGGTTTAAATAATGTGTTTGAGTTCACTCATGCTTTCTTCTGCATAGCCTAGTTTCCTATTGAATCTATTAATTTTTTTTTCTTCAGTTATCAGTGTATTCTTCAGTTGCAGGATTTCTGTTTGGTTCTTTAGAGTTTCTATTCCTTTATTGAACTATTTGTTTTGTTCATGTATTGTTGTCCTATTTTGTGTTGAGTTTCCTGATTTTTGTTTCTGGGTTCTCTTGAATCTCATTGAGCTTCTTTAGAATGATTATCTTTAATTCTATCAGTCATTTCATGGATCTCCATTCCTTTGGGATCAGTCATAAGAGCTTTATTGGTTTACTTCAGTGATGTATTATATAATTGTATACATAGAAAACCAAAAAGAATCTATAGGAAAATAATTTGAATTAGGAAGAGCATTTAACAGGTTTTCCAGATATAATACCCATATACAGGAATCATGTTCCTGTTTATATGCCAGCAAAAAGCCACTAGAAAATGTAATTTTAAAAAGTTATTAAAATAATTTATTCAGGAGAAGTTCATTAGTGCATGGAGTCACTAGGTGAAAGGTTGATAAAAGGTGACTTCTACACACAGAAGAGACCACGCTGTCACTGTCTTAAAGCACTGGTTAATCTTAGCTTTGCTAAGAGTGAGAAAACCAAGGACCAGTCACGGTGGCTCACGCCTGTAATCCCAGCACTTTGGGAGGCTGAGGCAGGCAGATCACTTGAGGCCAGGAGTTTGAGACCAGCCTGGCCCACATGGCAAAACCCCTTCTCTACTAAAAATACAAAAATTAGCCAGGCTTGGTGTTGCATGGCTGTAATCCCAGGTACTTGGGAGGCTGAGGGATCGGCATGGCTTTAGCCTGGTAGGTGCAGGTTGCAGTGAGCTGACATTGCACTACTACACTTCAGCCTGGGCAACAGAGCGAAACCCTGTCTCAACAACAACAACAAAAAAAAAGTGAGGAAAATCAGACATTATATGCTCTCAGATTTGAGGCAGTGTCAGTTACACAACACCATTATTTATTATTTTTACCTAAAAATGGAAATGGAATATATTCAAGTCTTTAAAGCTAATATTCAGTATCAAAACAAACAAAAACCAAGAGATATAGAGAAACAAGTTGAATTTCACCGTGAAGAAGCAAACATACAGTCTAGAGTGTGAGTCATTGTATGTAACAATTGATTTCCTTTAATAAAAAAAATCACTGGCATTCAAAAAGGGTACTTTGGAGGAGGTAAGAGACTTTTCTCTAGATTAGTAGGGTTTTGAAAGATCTAACAAATAAGCAAAATATGTGGGCATTTTTTTAATTTTGATTCAAGTAAAGTAGCTGTAAAAATAAACTTTGAGACGAATGTGGAAATTTCAATATGGACTATATATTGAGGAATTATTTATTTTGTTACAATTTACATAGTTAAAAATGCTCTTTTTTTGGAGATGCATAAGGAAGCATGTGTAAGGGTGTAATGATGTGGTGTCTGGAATTTTAAATGATGGCAAAACATGTAATATGCTTAGGAATAAAATATATACACATCTTTTAAGGAGGAAAATATAACGCTTTGTTAGAAGCCTTTTAAGGAGACCTAAACAAATAGATAATACAGACTGTCTTACAAATTTTCATCTTAACGTTGGTGCAAAAGTGGTACATATTAGCAAAACCATACTTTGAGTTTTGATATTTTCCTATACTACCTATGTGTAGTATGATACTGTCTTGTGATGCTGGACAGTGGCAGTGAGCCACAGATTCGAGTTAGCCACACAACTAGGAGGCCAAACAACTGATACTTTCAGATTCGGTGTATTAAATGCATTTTGGACTTAGGATATTTTCAACTTAGGGTGGGTTTATTGGGATATAGCCCAATGGTAAGTTGAGGAGCGTCTATAGTATATATTAATGAATTGACAGATCCAAAGCATGAAGTTTTTCGCAAACTTATATTGCTTCAATGTAATTGGAATCAAAATCCCAGAGGCTGCTGTTGGGTTTTTTGTTGCTGTAGTTGGTTGGTTGGTTTGGTGGAACTTGACGGGGTAGTTCTGAAATTTCTGTGAGAAGTGTAAAGGGCCAAGAATAGCTAAGACAGCTTTGAAGAAGAAAAAGGTAGGAAGCCTTACCTTACTAGTTACTTCTTGTAAATGTATAGTAATTAAGGTGGTGTATAGATCTGGCACAGAAATATACAAACATAGCCACAAAACAGGTACACATGTATATAGAAACTTTGTACACATGCCAGAAGTGGCAATGCATGTAAGTATTCCTGGGAAAATTTATTATAAATACATGTAAAAAATGAAATTTTATTCTTGTCTTATACCAGACTCCCAAAATGGAAGTATATTCTTAACTCATAACATACACACATCAGTTTCAGATGGATTAATGACTACAATGTAAAAGACAAAGTTTAATGTAGTTTTAGGGGAATATCTTTTATAAACTTGGGATGGACAAGATTTTGTAGAAATGTCACAGAATTGTACATTATAAAGGAGAAGACTGATACATTTGAGACAATTAAAAATTTTAGGCTGAACATGGTGGCACATGCCTGTAATCCCAATACTGGGAGACAGAGGCCAGTGGATTGCTTGAGTCCAGGAGTTCAACACCAGCATAGGTGACATAGTGAAACCTCATCTCTATTCAAAATACTAAAAATTAGCTGGATGTGGTGGCAGCTGCCCGTAATTTCAGCTGCTTAGGAGGCTGAGGTGGGAGAAATCTTGAGCCTGGGAGGTCAAACCTGCAGTGAGCTGAGATTGTGCCACTGCACACTAGCCTTGACGATTGAGTGAGACTCCGTCTCGAAAAAAAATTTTTTTGGAATTCTATAAATGAAAAGATGTAAAGAAATCATAGAATAGAATAAAATACATAACATAGATGAAACATTGTCTTTAATATGTAAAGAATACCTATAAATCATTAAGAAAAAGATATCTTAATTCTAAAAATGGACAAAAGACATGAATAGCTATTTCACAGAAGTGGAAACAGGAATGACCAAATTCTGTAAGATAAGATATTCAGCCGGGTGCGGTGGCTCAAGCCTGTAATCCCAGCACTTTGGGAGGCCGAGGTGGGTGGATCACGAGGTCAAGAGATCGAGACCATCCTGGTCAACGTGGTGAAACCCCGTCTCTACTAAAAATACAAAACATTAGCTGGGCATGGTGGTGCGTGCCTGTAATCCCAGCTACTCGGGAAGTTGAGGCAGGAGAATTGCCTGAACCCAGGAGGCGGAGGCTGCAGTGAGCGGAGATTGCGCCATTGCACTCCAGCCTGGGTAACAAGAGCGAAACTCTGTCTCAAAAAAAAAAAAAAAAAAAAAAAAAAAAGATATTCAGCCTAGGTGGTTAGAAACATGCATTTAAAAACTATGATGAGATACTGGTTTTTTTTTCTGCGAGATTGGAAACATTTAGAAAGTCAGTACCATGCATTAGTGGATGTGAAGAGGTATAATGGGCACTGTATGCACTGCTGGCAAGAGTATAAATTAATATAGCTTATTTGGAAAATAAAATAAGGTGTAACTGCTGTATGTCCTAGCAATTTAGTCCCTAGGCCCACACATTGGAGATGTTCTTTCACAGGTATATCAGAGTGTACCTAGCAGTGTTACTTAAAATAGCAAGAAAATGTTGACAACCCAATTGTCATCTTCTGGGGAGTAGATTAAAATAATTGCCATATGTTATTTCTTACTTCAGTGAAAGTGGAGAGGATTAAAAGATACATTACACTTTGAATGGTCTAAGTCTCGAAACATATTGAAAAGAAGTAATATTGAATATCATTCTGTACTAAAGGAGTAATCATCAGTAAACTTTATAAAGCTCAAAAACATATGAACTATAAATGAACAGTATATATATACACACACACACGCATACACACACACATATATATATGTAGCAAAACAATAATAAAAGCAACAGGGGTTTAAACACAAATTTTGAGATATAGGTTGTTCTTATTAATGGAGGATAGACCAATAGTAGAGAGAGACACAATAGGGAGCTTCAGAAGTAAATACAACGTTCCATTTCTTAAGCTAGGTTTCTAGATTTTTATATCATTATTTTATATACATCTACATTTGTGTTGAATGTTTGAAATATTTAATAATGGTAAAATTAGAGTTGTTGTACAAAACTTTCTTTTTCTATCAGCCATTCTAATATTTCAGCACATTGACGTCAGGAGACTGCTTCCATATTTCCAAAGTCTCTGATTCAGTTTCTTTTTAGTCATTTCAAATTATCCCATGGCTTTCTTTTGTTTTATGATTTCATTGTTCTTTATAGAGTACATGCTGAAATACATATTCTTTAGGGGAAAACATTTTTGTGAACAAATGTGCTACCATTGATGGAAAATAATTTGGAATTATTGAGAAAATTTGCAGCATATATTTATTTGTTGGTTTTCAATGATTCCTTATTGTCACTGGTGTAAGTCTCTAAATACATATACAAAGCTTCATCTTTCTCCTTCTGTCATTAGGCAAGTGAAAGACCAGAATAAGAAGGTAGCAAATCTGAAGCATAAGGAACAGGTGGAAAAAAAGAAGAGTGCACAAATGCTAGAGGAGGCTCGACGACGGGAGGACAATCTCAACGACAGCTCTCAGCAGCTACAGGTTAGAACATGAGGAGAATCTGAAAGGATCGGGTGAAGAGATGTGATCCGTAATCGCATGTTGTTTTCCTCTTCATCTTTATCCTCCTCTTTTTCCTCTAACCCTGCTTGCTGCCTTCCTCTCAGACCAACTGTTTAGCAATGAAGGAATGGCTTTAAATAGAAAATGCAAGTTTTATTCCACAGCTTTATGAGGACACCTCAGCATAGGAGAAAGTTCATCTTGCTTCAAGTTGATCACACGTAATTGGTAAGTTCAATGACAGTTTAATGAGTGGGTTATATTAGGCTTCAGGGTTGTCAGTATAACTCTCGGCCAGTTCCATTCATTAAAATGGATTGCTAATCTTAGTTTGTGTCTTTTTTCCTTTTTTCTATTCTTCCTTTCTCTTTTCCTTCTACCTCTCTAACCTCCCTCTATCTTTCTTTCCTTTCCTTTTTTAAAATATTCAATTTAGCAAGAATATTTTACAGTCATACAGGATGTAACTTATAAACTATATTTTTTCACTTCAGTGGAGTGATAATTGATATGTAAACCCAATTATTCACACATTAATTAAATGAGGCTCAATAGCAGCAGTAGCAGCTACCATATTATAAGTGCCAGTTAGGTTCTCAGTATTTGAAACTAGGCTCTTGTCATTCATTTTGTTCTAACCTGCACAGTAATTCAAATGGAGCAGGTGGTATTGTGTACATTTTGCTCCTGAGGAAATAAATTCAGAGACATTGCATTACTTACATATTTACAAATGACTTCTAAGTAGCTCAGCCATGATTTTAACTGGGACTTTCTGAATCTGTAGACTATCCTCTTTGTCTTGATGATAATACTTGAGAATGAAGGTTTAGATTATAGGGAAGAATACCAAAAACATGCTGGAGTCTCTGAAACTCTTGCTAAGACTGCTAAGCCACTGACAGATTATTTTTCTCTAGTTAACAATTTCTAATTGGGTCTGATACCATGTGTATGCCGCAATTAGAATCTTTACTAGACAGATTTGGAGGAGTTACTGTCTAGAAGTCATTTTGAGGCCTTACAGCAAATTCATTTAAAACATGAAGAAGGCTCTACTTTTTACTTCTTTTTCTTATCTCTCTTTTATGTAACTTTTACTGATTATAGAAAAAGTATAAATTTACTCAAATGCATCAAATCGTGTAAAAAGCAGCATACCAAGTTTTCCTCATCCTTGCTAATAGCAGTTAATATTGGTAATGTTCTCATCTTTCTGTTCTTCCTCCTTTTTTTTTTTTTTAACAAAATACAAATCTGATGAGTGGAAAATATTTCATTTTGTGTTAATTTATGTTTCTCTGATTACCAGTGACATTGTTTTTTCATGTCTTGAATTTTCTTTTGTTTTTAAATATAGTTTAAATCTCTCTTCCATGTTAGCTTTTCCTCCCATGGATTTTTTGCTTAGTTTATCCCCATTTTGAGAGTGTAAATTTACACATAAATACTTTTAAGTTGTTCTGTGCTTTCATATTTTTACCTTTACTTTTTAATTTAATTCATTCTATGGTATTTGTATGGTGAGGATATTTTTTCTTTATTGCTAACTTCCCTAGAATGTTTATAGGAAATTATTTCGTTGCTCACAAACTTTAATTGATGTCTTTGTATTTTATGAAATTGATGATTAGTCTAAGATTTCAATTTAACATCTCTTCTTGAACTATGGCCACATTGTTTTTTAATTATAGAAAATATTTATTTTGTGATAAGGCAAGCCCGTCTTTATGTTAGCACTTTAACTGTTTCATTTGTCTTCTCTTCTCCTGGCTGCCATTTAATATGTTTTCTCTTAGCCGTCTGTCTTTATAAACCAAAGATACTCTTCTAATCCTCTGTCAGTTGTTAATGTGCTTTCATATGTAATCTCCTATTTCCTGTTTATGTAAACTAAAAGATCGATAAGATAGATTATATTATTTATTTATATTTTACATATAGGGAAAACTAATTTAGAGTGAATGACTGACTTCTCCAAGGTGTCTAGCTAAATGATAGATACCAAAGTTATGAAAAAGATAGCTGATGTCCATGTGCAAGTTACACAGAGATGTAATTCATTCAAATACAGTGAAAAGAGCACTGGACTACAAGTTAGGATACTTAGGATCTGATACCAGTTCTTTTACTAACTACTCAGTTACTTGAGTATATTTCTTTTTATTTATGTATTTATTTATTTATTTGCTTACTACTTACTTACTTTAGAGACAGTCTCACTCTGTCACCAAGGCTGGAGTGCAGTGGTGTGATCCTCCTACCTCAGCCTCCCAAGTAACTGGGACTTCAGGCTTGTAAATCTTTAGATTTTTTTGTAGAGATGAGGTCTTACTATGTTGCCTTAGGTTGGTCTCGAACTCCTGGCCTCACATAATCCTCCTGCGTCAGCTTCCCACAGTGCTAGGATTATAGGTATGAGCCACTGTGCCTGGCCCCATGAATCATAAAGATCACAATCTGGGTATTAGGGATACTCGCCACCACTGGGTTGTCATTTATAACAACATAATTAAGAAATATAGCCAGGCATTGTGGCTCATACTAATCCTAGTGACTCGGGAGGTGAGGTGGAAGATCACTTGAGACCAGGAGTTCAAGACCAACCTAGACAACATAGTGAAACCCTGCCTCTAAAAAAGATTTAAGAAATTAGCCTGACAGGATGGTTCCAGCTACTTTAGAGGCTGAGGTTGGAGAAATACTGTAGCCCTGGAGTCAGGGTTGCAGTGAGCTATGATTATGCCACTGTACTCCAGGAGTATGTGATTATGTCACATATTCCATATGTGACAGGGCAAGACCCTGTCTTTAAAATAAATTAAATAGAAATAAAAGAAGTTAGAAATTCTTGGAGAAATGACTCATTCCAGGTTTGGAGCGAGAAATGTACAAGGTAAACCTAAATTAGTGGTTCTCAAACTTGGGTGCATTGGAGTTACATGGAGGGCTATTAGAAAAATAGATTGCTGTCTCCTGTCCCTAGAGGTTTTGATTCAGTAAGTTTGGGGAAAGCCCCAAGAATTTGCATTTCTAACAAGTTCCTAGGTGATGATAACATTCCTGGACCAGAGACCACATTTTGAAAAGCACTGCACTATAGCATCATATGATATCAAAAATTTCTAACAAGTTCCTAGGTGATGATAACATTCCTGGACCAGAGACCACATTTTGAAAAGCACTGCACTATAGCATCATATGATATCAAAAATTAAGAACCTATCAAAGACCACTAGGGTCATATAAGGATGGACAAAGAAGCAAGAATAAGGGGCTATCATTGGCCTAGGATAGAGAGTTAGAGCCTAAGAAAGACTAATGGGTACAGTTGTTTAAAACAAAGTATTTTTAAATCCAGAAACTTCATAATGAGACTATAAAAATAATTTGGAGATTGCTGGGGCACCAACGCCCTAACATTGGGATTTACTTTTAAAATTCCAGTGGTAGTGAGGGAAACATTCACCAGTTTTTGATAGTTTATTGAAGCTAAGTGATAGTAACATGAGGTTTATGATATTATTTTCCCTATACTTTTGCATGTTTGAAATTGTCCCTAATGCTGAAAAAGAAAGATATCACTTAGCCACTTGAAATTTTCATGTCTCTAAAACGAGTCTTAAGACAGATTAAGACTTCACTCCTTGGAATTTAGTGTGTCTTTCAGTTCTAAACTAGCTTTTTAACCATATTTACGTAGCCCTGGAATGGAGCTCTTGACTCTGGCTTAGTTTCTTTTTTTTTTTTTTTTTGAGATGGAGTCTCCCCCTGTCACCAGGCTGGAGTGCAGTGGCACGATCTCGGCTCACTGCAACCTACGACTCCCTGGTTCAAACGATTCTCCTGCCTCAGTCTTCGAGTAGCTGGGATTACAGGCGTGTGCCACCACACCCGGCTAATTTTTGTATTTTTAGTAGAGACGGGGTTTCACTATGTTGGCCAGGGTGTTCTCAATCTCCTGACCTCATGATCTACCCACCTGAGGCTCCCGAAGTGCTGGGATTACAGGCGTGAGCCACTGCACCCAGCCGACTCTGGCTTAGTTTCTTAGCCAAACTCCTTATTTGTATTTTCCCTTTACTTGATAAATATTTTCTGTATTTTCCAAGTAACTTTTTTTTTCATATTTTTACTTTAATTTCATGGAGTTGGTTTCTTCAGTTTTTAAACTGAAGGTAATATACCTTTGCTTTTGTTTAAAAATTATAATTTTTAATTAACATACTAGAAAAATTAATCCATAGATTTTATTTGTTTATATCCCTCTACATTTTTTTAAACTTTACTTATTTGTAATAGCTATATGTATACATACACTCTTTTGTATCTTGCTTTTTAAAAACTTTATATTATATCATTTAAACATTTCCAAGAGTTATGTGTTTCATAATTATGCTTATACTTATTATTTTCTTTTCTTTCTTTTCTTTTCTTTCTTTTTTTTTTTTTTTTAAAGACGGGGTTTCACCATGTTGGTCAGGCTGGTCTTGAACTCCCAACCTCAGGTGATCCGCCTGCCTTGGCCTCCAAAGTGCTTGGATTACTTATTATTTTCAATTGGATCCAGAGTTCAGTAGCTTTGTACACACTCCTGTTTCTCTGGACATTTCTTAATTTTCACTTTTCCCAGGACAAATTTGTACAGATAAATTGTACCCAGTTTGGTGATTTTCTTTGGCTATTCCTCAGAGCAAACTTACTCAGTCACAGTATATGAAGTGTTGTAGCTTTTCCCAAATTTCTATTACCAAAGGTGAGCTAATTTATAATACCCCCAGCAATTTGCAGGCATTCTGTTTTTTCGATAGCCACTTTGGTTCTATTTAATTTTTTGCTCATTTTACACACATATAATGATGTCTTCAAGTTGTTATGTTTCATTTCTTCAGTTTTTCACATGTAATGATTTATTATCTGAAATTTCTATGTCAAATTTTAATTACATATTCTACTTACCATGAGGATCTTTGTATGTC